TATTTTTTGAGACAGAGTCTGGCTCTGTTGCCTGGGCTAGAGTGCTGTGGCGTCAGCCTAGCTCACAGCAACCTCAAAGTCCTGGGCTCAAGCGATCCTCCTGCCTCAGCCTCCCGAGTAGCCGGGACTATAGGCATGTGCCACCATGTCCAGCCAATTTTTTCTATTTTTAGTAGAGATGGGGTCTTGCTATTGCTTAGGCTGATGTCGAACTCCTGAGCTTAAGCAATCCTCCCACCTCGGCCTCCCAGAGTGCTGGGATTACAGGCGTGAGCCACTGCGCCAGGCCTAAGATTGGCTTTAAATAGACATAATTTGTGTAGCCAAGTCAGCAAAGTCCTTTGGTGTGGATAGGGCAACTACTTGCTATTTTAATGATGTTGCTAACAGCAAAAACTTTTAAGAAGTCCTCTTGGGAAAGACAGAAGCACTGCATTAAGAAAGAGTGTTAACCTGGGTTCAAATTCCAAATTACTACCTGGCACATCTTGGCAGCTCATCTAATCTTTTTGGGTGTTTCCTTGGATGTAAAATGACAATAATAATAGCACTTATATAATGCTATTGCGAGAATTAATTGGGCTGACAATGAAAAATACTTGGCATAGGACTTGGCTCATGTAAGAGCTCATTAAATGGGGGCTGCTATTTATTATTGTGACATTAGTCTCATTTATTTATACTTAATTGACAGCTCCTTTTAGCCTTTTTCTTTTCCTCTCTTTTAGTTTTTTTAGAGACAGTGTCTTGCTCTGTCACCCAGGCTGGGGTACAGTGATGTGATCATAGCTCACCACAGCTTTGAACTCCTGGGCTCAAGCAATTCTCCTGCCTCAGCCTCCTAGGTAGCTGGGACTGTAGGCATGCGCCACCAGGCCTGGCTTATTTTTCTATTTTTTGTCGAGACAGGGTTTTGCTATGTTGCCCAGGCTGGTCTTGAAGGCCTCAAGCGATCCTCCCGCCTTGGCCTCCCAAAGTGCTAGGATTATAGGTGTGAGCCACTGCGCCTGGCTTTCTTTTCCTCTCTTGATGTTTACCTGCCTGCCTTCCATGTGTTACTTTATTTTTTAAACACGTGTTTGTGGGACATTTCCCACTGCATGGTACGAGGCACTGGATTTGTACATAGAACAGATGGGGTCCTTGCCCTGGCGCAGTGGCCAGTCTGGCTGGCTCGCCCCGTTCGTGCACTCTGCATTCCAAGCAGACCCAGCTCGTTGTGACTTTTGTACTCTGGGCCTTTGTGTGAGTTGCTTCTTTTTAACAGCAGTTTCTTTTTTTATGGAAAATTCCAGTAAAATCACCTTTTAAAACTTTATACTGATCAGGCACATGGCTCACGCCTGTAATCCTAGCACTCTGGAAGGCTAAGGTGGGAGGATCACTTGAGGTCAGGAGTTTGAGACCAGTCTGAGCAAGAGCGAGACCCCGTCTCTACTAAAAATAGAAAAATTAACCACATGTAGTGGCACGCACCTGTAGTCTCAGCTACTAAAGAGGCTCAGGCAGGAGGATTGCTTGAGCCTAGGAGTTTGAGGTTGCTGTGAGCTATGATGACACCACTACACTCTAGCCGGGGTAACAGAATGAGACTGCGTCGCAAAAACAAAACAAAACCGAGCAGACAACTACAAAAAGCCCTTTATACTGGTTATTTCTGGGTGGTGGGGCTTGAAGCATTTTATTACTTTCTTCTTTGAACTCTTACTGCTTGAATTTTTACAAAGATCAAGAAAGATCAAGTGTCTTTTTCTGTTCTTTTTTTTTAGGGATAGGGTCTTACTCTGTTACCCAGGCGGGAGTGCAGTGGTGTGATCATAGTTTACTGTAGCCTCAAACTCCTGGACTCAAGCCTGATCCTCCCGCCTCCGCCTCCCGAGTAGCTGGGACTACAAGTGTGCACCACCACGCCTGGCTATTTTTTTTTTTTTAATACAGATAAAGTCGCTCTGTTGTTCAGGCTGCCTTTGAACTCTTAGCCTCAAGTGATCTGCCTGCCTCGGCCTCACGAAGTGTTAGGATTATAGGTGTGAGCCACCATGCCCTGCCCTGTGTCGTTTTTACAATAAACAAAATTATTATTTTAAAAAATGTGGCCCAAATGCCACTGCCTCTGTGAGCTTTCCGCTTCTGAGACTTGGGTTTTCCACTTCTGTGCCCCCACAGCGCTGTACATGCAACTTTGTGAGAGTATCCCTCGAGTTGATGGGGTTGCTTGTTTAAACGTCTGTCTCCCCAAAGCACACTTTGAAGCCCTCGAGAACAGGGACCATGTGTTATTAATCGCATCTCTGGCATTGAGCACAACGCCTGGCCCTACGAGTTGATCGGACCCCCGAGAAGTTCAAGAAGTTCTCCTAGGTGAGTCTTGCTGTGCTGAATTTGTGACGTAAGCGTG